GTCTTTGGGCTTTTCATTTTCAAAATAATAAAAATTAAAAACTATATACCTATTTGGCATAATTTTCCTAGGTATTATTAATTATTTAAAGTATGTTTATTCATACTAAGGCAAAGGTCTGAGCAATTTTAAAGCTTTTGGCTTATATCATCAAATTACTTCCCCAAATAATTGTAAATACTCTGTATTTCTACTAGCAAAATATGAGAACTGTCACTTAGTTATCTTTTTTAATATTTGACATTATGGGACATTCCACTTTTCTTTATTTTTTAACATTTAACATTACTATAATTTTAAAATATTAAATATTTCTATAAGTGATCCTCAAAGTCATTAGACAAAAATTGCAATTGACATCATAAAAATTTCTAATATGTCTTACAAAGTTATCAGTAGGCTGGCAAATAACTTTTGAAAACTTTTGTTTTGATGAATTATTCAGCAAAACTTAAACACTCTGGAAACTATCAAGTCTAACAATAAGTCTGTAAATTATAACTAAGTATAAAAACAGTGTCTGATACCTGTTATGTACACATAATGGGAAATTGAAAAGAATAGTCCAATAACATAGTAAAGACCATTAATTACATATTTGAAAATGGATACTGCAAATTCTATTTATTAATTTTAAGCTTTCTCTGTAATTATAAATTTTTCCTATCAATAATAACACAAAACTCTATTTTCCTATAATTTTAATTTCCTCCATAGATGAGTTAATTCATTTACTTTACCATATATATATATATATATATATATATATATATATATATATATTTCTAGTGTTAATTTATTGTTCACATTTACCATGAATTTTCTTTCTTTGTTTCTTTTTAGCCCTAAAAAAAATATTTTGAAATGGTTAAGTCATTTTAAATTCACAGTCAGTCTCAATGTTTTATTGGAACACCTGAATCACTAAAATCCAGTGCAATAGTACTTCTTTTCCAGAACAATATATAGAAATCAGAAAATTCTAGCTTGGTTCATGCCTTCCTGTGTTCCACAATAATACTGTCTACAATATAGCTCCATCTTATTTTCAACTGCCCCTCGAGTGGCCATCTTCATTTTTTGTTGTTTGTTCTCTTGAACAGGGTTTTTTATGCTGCCCTGGCTGGTCTTGAGCTCCTGAATTGATCGTTCTGCCTCAGCCTCCCAAGGACCTGAGGCTACAGGAGTGCCCTGTCCACTGCCATGCCCAGTTTTGTTCCTCTATTTTAAGGATCTATTCTTATTTTAGACTTCTGGTAATCTACTCAGTGAGAATATGTATTAAATCCTCTCTGTTGATTATCTGAAAAAATTTAAAATTTTGTTTTCTTCAGAAATAAATGTTGAATTATTTCATCTTATCCTCCATATGTCCGATCATCTTTTACATAATCATTCCTTTTATCTTTCTTTCCTGTGTTGCAGCAAGTTTCATGAGATAACTATTCCAGTTTACTAAATTTTTCTTTAGCCTTATCTGAGGCTATTGTACATTTTTTCTAAATCTATTGTTTTAAATTTCAGTAGTCATACTTAAATATGACTATTTGATTTTTTCCAAAGGTATCTGTTCTTTTATAATATTTTATTCTTTTACTGTTTATATTCCTTTTAAAAATAAGTACTTTTACTTTTAGGAAGTCTGATGCAGATCGCACTTAGAGTTCACATGATTAAAATGCTAACTTATTAATTATGCCACCAACTCTCTTTCAGGATGGATGGTTTTCTTGGGTAACTAGGACTGTGTACTGTGAGCTCATTTTCCAGAGTGAGCAGTTTTCATCATAGACCAATATGCTCAGGTAGCATAGAACAGTTAGTTTGTACTTTGCTCTGCTAGTGAGCACACTAGAAGTTTTACCAACTATGACAACTATACATTTTGTGTTTTTCTCCCCCTATGCTACAGCATAAAATTCAAACCACAGATGGGTGCAGCATTATGTTTTCATTATGTCTTATCTAAGTAAAAACTTTGCTTGGTTTTTCCCTACCATGGATATTCCCATGGCATCTGAGAGCTGATGGCGAAATGCCTGGCTGATGCTCTCAGTGGTGTAGCCCTTCATGAACTACAGTCTCAGATCCTGGGTTTCCCAAAGCCAGGGCTCCAGCCTCTGTACAGAAACAGAAAGCACCAGTCTTCGTCTCTGGAGCCATCAACCACCTCAGCTCTGCAGGTGGCAACTGCACATTTGACATTTGAGGGCCTCCCTTCCTGAGTTTCCCTCTCTGCGTTTGTGTGTGTACCTACAAGCACATGTGCATGTATGTTTTTTAAATTGTCACATTTTCCCCAACATACTCTAAATCAAAGGTTTTTGGACTTAGGTAAGTGGTTAAGGAAGGAATGTATCTGAATTTGGTTGTTGTTAATAAAACAATCAATGTTATTATTTCCTATGGACTTCATACTGTATTGCTCTTCAGTATTAATTCAGCTTTTCAGTGTCATTTACTACTACAAGATCTAGGTGATTCTGAATCCTATTTACATCCATCGCAAACTTGAATTCCTCTCTGATAGCAATGTACATACCCTGCTATCAAAATTATCTGTAAGTGAATTTGAGTGGATTCAGGTGTGATATTTCATATTTGGTTCAATGATAATAGGTAAGCCTTACTTTGAGGTAACATTATAATATTGCTGAAGAACTATTTATTAATACATTCAAGACATTTATTCTCCCAAAGTGAATAAACATTAAATGATGCAAAATATGGCTTTTTGGCTGTCTTTCCTTCTCTCATTCTTTTTCTTAATATAGACCTTTTTCTTCTTCTAAGCTTTGTAGTTGCATCTTTAAAAGCCTTTTGTTTTCTAAAATAAGGGCCAAAGTAACATTATTTCCTTGTAAGACATTGTCAGCAAAACGCTGCCAGAACCACCAAGCTTGCTGGTAAACAGAAAGTATAGCTTTCACTGTAAAATACTATAACTACACTATGCAGCAATATCTCTGTGGTTTTTAGCACAGAGGAAATCAATAGTAGTATAGACTACAATTCTTTGTTGGACTCAAGGAGCTATAAGAGGGTAAATGAAAGAGCTTATTGACTTAGTAAGGGAGAAAATCAGGGCAGCAGAAATACCTAACCCTTTAACAGAATATTTTTAATCTACACACTAAAGTTTTTCCATCTAATAAGAGACAATAGATAAATAAAACAAACAGAAGTCTCCTCTTGTAGCACCATTCTTCTTCCGTATTTACACATGCTTGCCAGGCCATCACTCCCGGCAAACATCCATAAGGAAAACTTGTACTATACTGATGGAGGAAGAAAATATCTAGACATTAAAGAAGTCTATGTAAGGTAAGTCTTAGTATGAATACTTCATGTTTGTATTTGACAAAAGCCAAAATGTAGAAAATGTCATTTTGTACAACCAAGAAAAGATCCCAAATTCCAACAGGTGACATTGTTTTTCCTTATTCAATAGCCTGCTCTTAGAATTTTTAACATACACCATAGAAAGAGTGCATATTAAATCATTCAAGGTTGAACTATTATACTGAGAGAGGAGACAGCACAAAAGAGAGAGAAAACCTCCAAACACTGCTGCTTTTCAATCACATGAATCAGTATGTTCTACAGAAAAGAAAAAAATACTAAATGAGAGACTGTTGAAAAAAATGACTCATGCCTGTTATTTTAATTCTTAATTCAAACTCTTGCCTAGGTGTATCTCTGGATAAATGGTTAACAGCTGTATTCTTTTCATTCTTGTACTTCTGGTACCAACTTAGTGAAATGCCCTGTACCTGTCCCCAGTCATAATCAGAAGCTGCAGGCTGCCGTCAGCAGCAGCCTGCTTTCATAGAAAGCACTGCGTGGGAAACATAAAAATAAAAGACCTATCAGATAGTTATTCACTGTGAGCAACGTTATTATTTATTTGCATTTTAATATTTCTTTTTAAAGTTCTTAGTGTATAGACTCTAATAAACAGAATTTCCTGTATATGTGAAAACAGAGTACTTTTTTCTTAAATAATAAATACAAATATATGTGGTTTCTTATAATCTTCAAGCAATTTTCAATGTGTTACAAAATCTGTCAACAGGTGGCCACTATACGATCACATCCAAATGTGGTATGCTGCTCCTTCTCCCTGCACAGGTGTGACTTCAGGGCAGTTCTTACTTTCTCAATTCATGGTCATGGGAAGAGATGATAAACTGTGAACATGTAAAGGATCCTCAATAAAGGGCAAAGGTTTGCAAGTATAAAAAATAAATCACTTTCTCATTAGGCAAATGTAAGTTTAGAAAGATTTAAAACTAGGAGAGAGAGAGAGAAGGAGAGAGAGAGAGAGAGAGAGAGAGAGAGAGAGGAAAGAGAGACAAAGAGAGAGAGACAGAGAGAGGAGAGAGAGACTATTCAGCTTATAACATCCATTACATACTCGAGTTGATCTCTAGCACTTATTTTAAAAATTTAAGACTTGTGTGAGTTAGCTAAATCTTACCCACATTATAACTAACAAAAACTCACCACTCTCAAGGGCTCTGAAGATAATCTTATTACATCATAATTGTAAGTTAGTAAATTAGTAAGATACAAACCTACAGGAGTATGTGCCATCCTTGTAAGTTTTATAACACTGGTTTGGTGCCAGGTCTGAAGTATGAAATAAACAGCTCACTTTTTAGAAGTCATATTTTGATGCCATGAGTATAGGGTGCCCTTTTTTACATGCTAATAAAACCCAGTGATACTTGCGTGTTCTAGAGAGACTAACTCACTGCTTGCTCACAGGAAAGCCATACTGCGTGTCACTTGTTAGCTGGACATAGTTATTACTCATTCCGCTTCCTGAAAGGTTAGTTTTATCCAGCTTTGAGAGAAAGCTAGGATATTGCTATGCTGCCACAGTATCATTATTGCTCAAAGAGTTCTTAATTTCTAATGCTTGCTTCAGAGACATCCAAATAGCTCACTCTCAGGCCCCTCCGTGGTGTGCCTATGCCTTGCTCATAGGGACTTACTCTGCATGCAGAGCCCGTCGGTGCAGTTTTTGGACTGCAGGACCAGCCCGTCGCAGTCCTTGCCCCCATTCTTGGGGGCCGGTGCTGTACACTCCCTCCGGCGCCAGTGGGTGCATTCAGTCCCGCAGGTGGACCACTTGCTCCACGAGGTCCACCTGCCATCCACTGCCACGAGAAAAGCCAACATCAGTCAGAGGGAGGTGGACACATGCAGGTGACAGGTGCAGAACTCAAGTACAAGGCAACAGTGTGAACCCTGGAAAAAGCCTGGACTAAGGCCTCAGTCACTTCTCCCCCAGAAGGTGGGTTGCATGCTCCCTCACTAGCAAGCAAGACAGGCTTGGGGGCACATGGGAACCAAAGCTGCTCCCAGGACCTTGTGCACAGCTAGGCCATGGTGGTGCCCCTTTTCCTTTCCAAGGAAATTTCTGCATTCTGTATGGAAAACAGGACTGGTCTCTGTCAATCCAAGAGTTCTTCACACTCAGTTTCATGCGGACAGTGAAAATCAAATGTGCAAGAGTTTGTAGAAAAGACTAGCACAGACAGGGGCAGAAATCCACCAGGTCTTTCTCCTCCTTGCTGTTCCACCACCCCCTCATCTCACCCCTCTTCTGTCTGTGTCGTGTACTCTTTTATATTAGCACATGTCTGCAGCATGTAATGTCTACACTCCTCTTAGGGTGTAGGTGTATGTACTTATTTTAATTTTCCTTACCCAATTCTTTTTTTCTCTCTCTCCACCTCTAGATCCCCTTCTCATCTGCAAAAGAGCCATCTTTCTCCTATTGTCTATCCTGCATTTTATTATGCAAATTAGTCTTACGCTTTGAGTTTCTTTGAGTAACTTCTTTGAGAAGTTATATGATATTTAAGTTTGTGTAGCTGATTTATTTACATTTTATTTTTAACACACAGGTTGCTTGATTCTGTTAAAACCATTTGCCATGTCTTTTTCTTTTTCTTCTCTTTTTTTTTTTTTTTTTTTTTTTTTTGGTACTGGGGATCGAACTCATGACCTTCAGCTTGCCAGGCAGGCGCTTATGCCACTGAGCTGAGCTAAATCCCCAGCCCTGTCATGTCTTCTTAATGTGATTACATTACTTTCTATTTATTATTGATGACTCCATGCTGTTATATGATGATATAATAATATTTAGCCAAGTCCCTAATTTTTCCAGTCCTTTGTTTAGAACTGAATTACTTTCTTCTTATTGTTGTGGTTGACTTGTGAGTAATTTCAATGATAATGAGCTGAGACATCCATATTTCAAAAATACTACTTAAATCTCAATTTGGAAAACAAATACAGTAACTGTCATACTTTAACATGAATTTTTAAAAGTTTCTCATAGAAAAGAAATGGGGTAGAAATGTTGAACTAAGTATTAAAAAAAAACTCTTTCCCTGAAACACATGTTATTACAATTAAATTCCATGTAAAATAATGTCAAATATCATTTATTAAGAATTTAAATCTCTAAAACATGCATATTGATAAAAGTGACTAAACTATAGCAGTTTATGTAACTGAGAAATCTACATGTTTTTATGTTTAACTGTTATGTGAATATACCATACATTATATACATGAAGATATAAACATGTACATGAAAAATATGAAAAACATTCATATTTACAGCATGCAAAGCTTATTGTACAAATAATTCCAAGTATCTGGAGCAAAGATATTTCCTTTGACTTAGATTCTGAGCTGGTATCTTTGCTTTCACCCATAGTGTACTGAACCACTCACATAGGCCCATGCGCACACACATACTTACATACACAGGTACACATATTTCAACTCATTGATCAATGCATTTTTAATCGTGGGAGTCAGCAACTAGATAAAATATAGGGTAATCCAGGATAAATATCTCAAATTCTAAGCCTAAGGGAGAGACTATTTTGATATTGGATATCACACTTTGGAATGTAACGTGAAGATTGTATTTTTCTACCAAGTAGATTTCTTCAACCCATTTCTGGTTAAGGTTCTATTAAAAGATGAAGAGGACAAAATTTGGCAAACTAAAGAGAAATAAAGATTCTGTATATCTCAATAAGGAAACTGATAGCATAGTATCTACTCAAGGAGCACATTAAATTTATGAGTTATTTCAAAGTAATTTTTAACTTTAATTATATAACTACACATTTTAGTAGGTTTTGGCAACTATTAATTTAAGTTTACTTAGGAACACAAGTGGGTAGCCATGTGAAATAATACAGAAAGATGCCGAGGGATAGAGGAATGCAATCCTGCTATAAATATTACGGCAAATAATCACAAAATAGATAACCAACCTGCTGACTGTATTGTATGTTCAAAATCCATTATCCTGTGTGTCACAATGCTTTGCCTTCCTTTTAATTCATTCCAAATATTTTATTTGCCTTTGCCCAGAAACTGACACCATGTATCAAACATTTCAGTATAAAACATCTCTAAATTTTATTTCCAATTAATCCCCATGGTTTTCAGAAGATCAAGTGTTACTACTAAATGTATAGTTTTCAATGCTGTTCAAGTCCCTTGAATCACAGAATCCACAATCTTGGCTTAGTGGTTCCACTGAATACTGTAGAGGGATTATGTTTACGAGCATTTACCTACTGTTTTGTATTACTTTGCAAGTTTGGGTAACAGAGTTAAGTATTCTTTTGAAGGAATTACTTGATTTCTCAGCAACATAAATGCTGAATATAGAATGGATTAAAATACTGTTTATCACACCTGTAAGTCAAGGGTAAGGCCTCTGATCTATTTCTGAAACCTATTTCTAAGAGTAGTGGGAAATGAGGGGGCCTCTATTGCTTACCTGGGCACAGTGTGGTACAGACTATTTTCTGCACGCTCTGCCCTTCACAGAAGGCACCACCATTGAGGGGCGCAGGGTTGGTGCAGGTCCTCGTGCGTTTCTGAAACCCTCGTCCACAGCGGCTGTTGCACACGGACCATTCTGTCCAGGTGGACCAGCCACCGTTAACTGAAATGAGGTGAGCCATACAGCGTGGATTAACCCTCTTTACACATACACTCAAACATGCAAACTACCTAACACACAAATGAAAGGTCCTCTCACAAGCGACCATGAAATAGCCTAAAATGTCAAGGCCAGAAGAGAACAAGGGCATCACTTCAAAGTTTTATTATAAAACTAAAGAATCTAAACAGAGATAAATAAAATTATTGACTTAGTATTTACACACTCAGAATAGTAAGGCTGCATTTCTCTTGTTGGCTAATGTTCTTTAAACATATATATCCCTTTACCTAATCAAGCTCTGAAAATTACTTTTGATAGCTTATCTCAAACAATGAATGTTTATTTCCTTAAATCAAGGCTTCAAATGGACCTGTAGCATGAGAACTAACTGAAAATTACTTAACCTTCTTAAAAATGTTGGTTGATTATTTTCTGTACCATATGCAAACTTTACAAACTTTTAGGGATTCTAGTTTTACAAACTAATGAGTGAACCTAGTTAAAAAAATGTTAGTGTTAGAGTTGTAAACAAATTGACTAGTAATTTGGATGATTTATAAATTATTTGAGATCATTGAAATGCACACTTATTTTGTGTAGAAAGTCTAATTATGATGTTTGGTGGAGCTGTCAGATAACATGTGATTAAAAACCTATACCCTAACACTATTGGCAGTATTCCTTTCCAGGGAGTTCCCTTTATCAAATGCTCTGATTTTGGTTTTTTTTGAAACATAATTCAATAGGGAGCTGGGGATTTAGCTCAGCTGCATAAGCACCTGCCTGGCAAGCATAAGTTTGTGAGTTCTACCCCCAGTACAAATAAAAAGTAATTCAATAGCATGAATCCATGCAATTATTTAAATGAAGTAGTTTCTAACAAAAGTTATTTGCTGGTAGGTAAAAGATGATACAATGAGTAACACAAACCTCATACATGCATATAATTTGCCCAGGATCTTATTTTCTAGAAACCTAGCCAGTAGGGAATATATTCATATAGACAAAGCTTTTTTCCATATCAGTTTTTTAACATAAAGATAATTGAAAACATCTGTCATGTTCAAAAATAAGAAACTATGTAAGTTTGTGTGATGGACTTCTTTAAAGCAGCCACTGAAAATGGTACTACAGAATGCTATTCAATAATGTGTAAATATTCCTATGTTATAGTTTAATATATATAATATATATATGCATAGAAAATGTCCATGGTATAATTTAAAAATATTTATCATTAGATGATACAATTATATTTGTAGGGGTTTTCTTTTTAAGCCTTTTCTGTGCTTTTAAATTTTCTCTAGTGGATACATATTTGTAGTCTTAAATGACAATAATGAAGAGTATATATAAAACAGACTCAAAATAAGTTATGCTGGCTGGATGTATGTTTTTGTATGGAATTTAGGTAAGGCCACCCTAGGAGTTGTGGACAACTTATTTTATGAAGCCATAAAAAGCACAAGCAGATGGCTGATACAGAGGGCTTCAGTTAGTGTTCCAAAAATCAACTTAACTATCCAACTGTATAGAATTCAAAATGTCATGGGATAGTCAGTACGAACTGCCTGCTAGCATAGCGTCAAACTGATAGTTTGGGGTTACAGGATCAACTTACTGCTCTGCTAAAACTTTCATGAAAAGTAAATAACCAGATACTTCTAGAGACAGAAGCATCTTTGCAGAACACAGGTTTATCCCCTTTGCTTCCAGAAAAGATGACAAGGGCTCAGAGAACTTTGCCTTTGAAAGGTCAGTTAGTGGATGGAACACTTAATCCGAGAGCACAAGATTTCTGACACTCTGTGTTTCAGTTATATGTGTTTGCTCTCTCCTGAAGACAATGTCCTCACTCCATTTGTGGATACTGAAAGCATGCTATACTTAGGGAAAAATTTGCATGTATATTAAATATCTATATAATACATCTATATATAGTCTGTCCTCATTAGTTATTTATGATTGGGACATGCTGTGATTGGGACCCATTTCTACTTTGCATTTCAAATACTATTAATCAAGTATTTCAGGCAGTTTAGACAAAGATAAAAAGTAGGAAACACTATGATTGAAGATGTGCAATTGCTTACAATTCAACATAGCCATTATCTGGAATAGGAAATTAAATCTCACAGTAATCATGGGATTAAAAAGAATATATCTGTCCTGTAATTAAAATGGCAGTTTTAAAACATCACTATATTCAGGCTCAGAACATCATAATGATTTCTGTTCACATAACTCCTTCCATCATAAAATGCACACATTCACTGGGATGTTACTGCAGGAAAGGCAAAATTTTCATCTGCACATTCCCAGAGTTTTATCAGCTTGACCTGAAAATTAAATGAGCATAAAAGAGACTACAGGAAAAATCATTCAAATTTATTTAATACAAGTTTTACATGGCATAGAAATCTTTATAAAGAAATGATCTAAAGATGGCATTGGAACTTAACACCTTCAGGCTGAATTGGACCAAAAGTGTATGTTCTGAGAATGTAACTAAATTATGTGATAAGGCTGAAAGATTAATTTTAGTAAGATCTATACTTGATCCTGTTGGTCTCAAGTTCCCATCTTTGATGGTAAGAATATTATTTACCCTTCTAGTATATGGGAAGCATCTTTAACCTGAGCCTCAGTGTTCTGCTTTTAAGAAAAAGAAAGATCAGAATGATCTTGTATATGCTATTTTTCAAGTAATATAACTAAAAAAAATCAAAGCACTAACAGTTTCTAAGCCTGGCCTTCCTTAGGTGGAGCAGAGATGCTGCTAAACCAAGGATGCCCAGGGTTCTGTTTACCGAACAGCACAAAACACGGAACATCAAAAAATGTTTTCCCTTCAAATTCTTGTTTCTTGAATTTTTCTAGGTAACCTATATGAATTTCAGGCAAAAAAAAAAATTTTTTTAAAAAGTGCAGTCTCTGGCACCAAAGGTCTCACTGACTCTATGCGACATGGGAAGCAGAGCCATGTGCTTTCCAAAGGGATCCCTAACTTGAAATCCTAAAATTAAATTGGCACAATACTGATACCAAGAAGAAAGGGCAATGTGATGTGAGCTAAACTGAGACCTCACGCCCACTCACCATAGACAATGACCGTGGCTGTTGTGCTTCTCCTCTTGGCAACAATGTTTTTGGCAACGCAGGTGTAATTTGCTGTATCAGAAAGACGGGCCTGCTTTATGATGAGGTTGTGGTCAATAGTAATATAAAAATTCCGATCTTCAACAGGATCAATTATGTCTTCATTTTTCAGCCATTCTACCTAAAAATGAACACGAAACATAGGTAAATTCCCGGTATGTTTCTCTCAATGGCTGCTTGCCTAATTTGTGTTATGAAATCTGTACAACATTATCCACGCTGGGAACTTCTGCAGAACAAGGAAAGTAACTTTCCGAGGTCATGTGAAGTATCACTCACCTGCCAAACATGCTGATTCTGTCTGCACTACATTATTCTCAAATGTCAATGAACCAATTGGGAAATGCAGTGTTGAAATTGTTTTCACTTTGCCCTGCAGGCAGGAATAGGGAATGTGCACTTCCAAGTTCGGAACACAATCAAAAATAATAGGCTAAGCATTTCAAACCGATCTCAAATCTTTTGCCATTTGATTTGTTTACTCTTGGCAACATACCTGCTGCCTTTCAGAAAAGGATAGAAGGATGATTTTAAAAACTCAAGAGGTATTTGAGACATCATATAGCTCTAATAAAACAACATTTGGATGATTATGATTTACATGTCATCTCACTACAACGTAAGGATTAAATTTCCCTTAAAATGCACAGGCTTTGAAATGAAGCAAAACGCCTATCTGCAGCTTTATCTAAGCCAAAATATTTGGGATAAAAATTTTCTACCAACCCTCAATATAATCCAAATAGTGTGTAAATCATACTCAAATCTCCTTTGTCTCCCTCAGTATACAGTCAGCTCTCTCTCTCCTTCTTTCCTTCTGCCTCTATCTGTTTTTCTCTGTCTTTCTTCTGTAACTTCAAATCTTTGCCTCTTGGTTTGCTTTGGGGACACAATTGTTCAAAACTTATGAATTATTGTTTTTTTATGCAAATATCAATTTAACAACAATATTATCTTTCCTAAATAAAAGGAGAGAAATACACCTCAACAAATGGTCCTTTTGGTAAGTAAACTTTTATACGAAGTTTTTCTTTCTTTCTTCTTATGTGCAGATTTTTTCCCATAAAGCAAAACAACCTTGATATTTACCACATTTAAACTTCCTTTTCCCATTAGAGTGGCTATGGATACAAGTAACCTTTAGTAGTAGGGAGTCAATATTTTTGCCATTTTCAAAATCTTACAGAGCTTCTCCAGCACTGCAAGAGGTCTAGAAATTAATCTCTAAATCTGTCATTGGGTTTGACACAGTATGGTTCAAAATTTTGTCTAATGCGCAGACTCTCAAATAATGCTCCTCTAATCCTTTGAAGAGAGGCCAATGTTTAAAGGTGTATGTATGTGGGGGAGGACCAACCACAATCCTAAAATACAGAAATGGATGGGGAGATAAATTAAAGCAACTGTTTATAATGATGTAAATTTCAAAATAAACATTCTTGATATTTGCACTCATGGCAGTGGGAAAGAGAATGGATTTTTAAAAGATACACTTTATTTTCAATCTCCAACTACACAGTCCCTTGACCTGAATTCTCCAAGTTTGGCCGTGAGGGTGGTAATATGACCTTGTGAAAGTGCACAGGGGAAGGAAGCAGAGGCACTGTCAGAAATCTCCTTGACGATAACTGAAATTTAACATTCACATTCTTCTTGTTGAATCTTTACTCAGTTAATCTAGGGTGCCATCCTAAAGTCAGCTTCACATGTACAGAAAGTACAACTGGGCTGCTGTCAGTTGGGGTTAGGTTCCTTCTACGGGGGGGGGGGTGCAGTGCTCAGCATGCTTGTCTCTCAGTATTCACACCTGCTATTCTGTGAAGCCAACCATCAGATTCCTGAGTTCTTTTACCCTACAAATATCAAACAGTTCACCGCACCCACTATAACTCTTCCTTTAAGCCACTGATAAGCGGTGCAGAAATATGCTTCTGTCTACTTGAGCTGGGACTTTGGTTGTAACTCTCCAGATCTCCCCTGGGGGGCCAGGCTGAAGCTGTGTCCTCCAGGCGTTGCCTGAATTACACTATGACTTGGCATCTCCCTTCTCTTCCTCTTGCTCCACCAACTTACAGGCTGTCTTGGAAACATTTTTTAAAAGACTATTGTAGCCAAAGCCTGGCTTATAATTTGCTTTTAGAAAATATTGTCTAAATCACCTCTGCTCAAAATGGTGTTTTCTTTGTAGCCAATACAGGTTTAACAACACTGATAAAATCCTCATCACAAATGACATAAAGAGCTTTCAAGGGATATTACCAACTACTTGTTTATTTGAAGAGTGTATTGCATCACACTAGACAAAAGCTTTGGAGACACAGGATCCTTATGTTGTCACATGCAATGGTACACTTTACCTAGATGACTCTCACCAGGGGTGGGGCAGCACTGTGACCTGAGCCTCCAAGAACCCACACAGTCACTGTAATGCTGTGAACATCCCAGCAGTGTGGGGGGCACTGTCCTGGTAACCCTAAACGGCTGCTTTAATCACAGCTCTGCTTTGATCTATTTTCTACTTTGGGTTGGCCTATGTGCCTTTGATTGAAGACACAAAGGATTCTAATGTGAGAAAATGGCTGAACATGAAGAGAGGAGATCCCCAGCCTCTGCCAAGACCTCTCAGTTCCTTGTTCTTGTACCCCACACTGGCCCTTCGCAGGAGGCCCCAACCTGGACCGTCTCCCCTCTGGGAAGCCTGGCTCAGGACTGCAGGCTACCCTCCCATCACACACTGGGCTCTGGCATCCTTGCTGCTGGGAATCCTGCAGAATCTTCCAGAACATCAACCTCTTTTTAGATTTTTTACTTCTCCTTTTCCTTATGTAAACTCACCTCTATTTAATGCCAATTTTTTTCTGAAATCTTTCTCAAGTGGCAGATGATCTATTTACTGGTGGACAGGTTAAGTGTTTTTTTTTTTTCCTTAATTTTTATTTTTATGAGTATGTTTATAGCATATAATGATTACATTCATCATGCAGAGCTGGCACATCTACATAACACAGCTCAATTCTTTTTATCTCCCCTTTCTCTTCCCTCCCACCTCACTTCCTCCATATCTTCCCATTTGCAAACACTTCCTGGTTTTCTACTATCTATCTTTTATTTTGTTCCTTATTTTTTACCCTCTCTACTCCAGACCATTCTCTCAACACCTCTGCTTTTAATCTCATGCCATCAGATTTCATGTCATTTCTACACTTTCTGTAGTTATCTGAAGGCTTACAGTCACTTCATGCAGTATAGTTTCTGACTATTTTCATAACCAAAAGATGACACAGTATTTCAGTCCCTCAGCTGCATGCCCTCCCTATCCCCAGAACAACCTACAGCTCTAGCTCATTAGCCTTTTCTTATTCAAGGGCAAGCCCCACAGATTTTCTCTCTACTAAGGTGACACATTCCAAGCCTGAGCTTTGCAACAGAACCACATGGAGAACATTAATAGTTTAGCAATCCTAACTTCAACCCAGAGGATCTAAATCCAACCCAAAGAAATTTCAATTGCAAGTTCTACAGTGGTACAGCATCAGTGCTTTTACTCTCTTCAGGGTTGTAATCTCCTGGGTTGTAATCTCCTGCTACCTTACTGTCTCTCAACATCACGGTCACTGTGGGAGTTGGATGCAGTAGAGACCCTTGGGCTCTGTCCCAGGAGACATACTGATAGGAAGTGTGTATACTTATGAGACTCCATAGGATTTATGAGCACAGTGAAGTTGACCAGCACACATTGAACTCTTGTCCTTACTATTAATTGCAACCTCTACTTAAACAGTTCAAATACCCGCTCCTTGACTATTTCCTATCTTTCCTGCTAAATTTTCCTGGAGTCCTAGTTCAACAATCCTTCACCAGAACCTGTAAGCCATTTTCTCACCTACTTCACTTCTCAGGCCCAGTCACAGAATCATACAAGCAACCCTTGCATCACCCCGACCCACTCAGTCTCTCTCCCAGGCATCTGCTTGGCCACTACTGTTTCTCTCTATGATCACCACCCCAGAAGCAAACATAGCTGGATTCAGCCATGTTGAATGGGTTTCTCCTAAGTTCATGACAACAGAACACAGGCAGTCTGTTAGCTCTGCCTAGAAGTCATGCTCTGTTTTCATCATCTCTTCACTCTCCCATTCATACTTGTGTTTTTCTGTAAATAGTACTTTCCTCTGTATCCTCACTGTTAGCTGATGACCAAGATTTCCATGTCACTGAGAAAACGAGAGATCTTTCAAAGCCCTTACTCCCCATCCACCCACCCAATCATGAATGATCTCTTTGGTCCCTGGGGTGGGACGTCTCTCTGCTCCTGTGTCACCTCTGATCTGTGCTCTAGCTCATTAGCCCTTTCTTATTCAAGGGCAAGTCCCACAGATTTTCTCTCTACTAAGTCATGTGTTCTGCCTTTGAAATTGAATTGTTTGCTTCCACAAGAATCAGGCAGCCTGTTATTCTTCACAACTTAAAGATGCTTCTCACCCATTTCTGTCTCTAGTCACCCAATAGTTCTCTGCTTGCCTTACAAGACTCCTTGGAATTGCTTTTTACCCTCACTGTTCTGAGTCTTGTGACTCTCATCTCACTGGGACCAATTCTAATCTGCATCTACTTCCACCTGCACCCCTTACTAATGCTGCTTTTAGTCACTGATTACTCATAAATATGTTGAGGGTAGCTTAGGGCTCTCCTGGACTCCTCAGCAGCATCCGACCCAGGTTCCTCTCAGCTTGGCTTGTTTTCTCTGAACACGGCACTTCCCAGGTTCTGACCTATCTCACTTGGCCCCTAGCACCTCCTCGGGCTAATGTGTACCTCTGTGGCTTGGGCCCTGGACCACTTCTGTGTTCTCTTTCTTATGTTCACTTCCTTGGTGAGTTAATTCAATCTTGCACAGTGACTCCTAAATTTATCTCCAGCCAAGATCCCAGCCTTGAATTCTAGACTCATATATCCAACCACATCCTTGTGGCCCCACTCAGTTGTCAAATAGCAAGCTCCCAGACAGGGTTTGCAAGCCTGCTCCTCATGCGGTCTCAGCAGCTTAGTTCAGGCCAACTCCATTCCTCCAGTTACTTAGACCAAAACCTCACCATAGTGTTCATCTCATTCTTCCTCTCT